TGATGCAATCTCTAGGCTGGACTTCATTTTGTGTGTGTTTCTGTTTTACTACAGTTGATAAAGCTACAAGCAAGTAAAATGGAATGCAGTCATACATATGGATGAGCGAGGAACAAACTGGAAAAGCTGGGCAGTGTGTCGCCAACATTATTCAACTAGGTGCAGTGGCTGTGCATGACCGTGTGGGCATAGCAAAGGTGCATGATTCACAGTGTCTCCCTTACCGTCATTGTCTTAGTTATTACACCACAGTTGATGGTACAAAAGCTGAGACATTAGCCAGCCGAACATTGTCAAAATCATCTGCTATATCCTGGCGTTCCAGATTTTTAACCTGACTTTTTGTACGAATCTCCTCAGGTCACCATTGCAAAATTATCATCTACCACCATGAGGATCAACCCAATGGACCTTTGTATAAATGTAGCTTGTGTATGTCCATCTCTGCCTGCTGCCGGTCGTCTGTCTATGCAGCCTGTAGGCTATTGCATTATCCACTGTTCTTTCTGAGGCAGTTTCACTTTGCAACTGTCAATATTTGCCTTACTGACATGCAGCTTTCTGGTTTTACTCTCTTCTAGTGCGTGCTACTGATGTTGCTGACTCCATGGCCACTACATGAAGTCCCCGTAACACATTGCACTCCCTGCTACCTGACCAGAAGATTGCGTGCCCTTGTGAGTTTTCCTCTTTCCGAGGCTGCTTCTTCTCTGAGGTAGTTTTGACTTTGCAACTGTCATTTTCTTGTTCACTCACATGCATGTCTCTGGTTTTTCCAGTGCCTGCTGTTGATGTCACTGACCCCATGGCCACTGCATGAAGTCTCCCTTCGCCCTTTCTGCCAATAAGCCAAGCTGTGTGTGGAGGATTCAGGCCTAGTGTGCAGTTTGCACAAACCTCATCAACTGAGCACAGATACCCGTAGTGAACCCTGCCACATACAATCTCCAAACACTATAGAATGACACCCAGGCTACCTTGATTATAATGTGCCATTGCTCCTGTATGTTTCTCGCTATGGTGTGCCAGTTTTATTTCTTGTGGTTCTATTCTTCTGCCCTTCTGCCTGTGATGTCTTCCCCCTCTGCCCTGCTGCCATACTACTGTTTGCCCCGCCATCTGGCGCAGCTCCAGCACTTGCCTACCATTAACTGCCTGCCCTCTGCTTGCATCTCAAATGTGAAGACTGGGAAAATGTGAATTATGACTGACTTTCCCTGCCAGCCCCAGGAGGATGGGCTCCCCCTCTGAGTCTGGTTCCTCCTAAGAGTTTTTCCTTGCCACTGTTGCCTCTGGCTTGCTCACTGTGAGCTTTGGGCAGGGATGCCGTAAAGCCATTTTGAGACCATGTAATATTGTCTCACGATATTTCAATTTCAATGTGTATTGTATGTCATTTTTCATATGTCAATGTTTCATCTCTCGTATATCTATCAATTTCATTGTTTATTTATTTATTTTCACTTTTACTGTGCAATACCAAAGCATTAGTCATGTTTCTACTTGGGATTGCTGTGTTGACTTGCACTAACTTGTAGTAAGGTCACTTGTATATTCGGAAGAACGTCACCATGTTGCGGAATGGCACAATTGCACTTTACTAAATGAACAGTCTACAAATAACGATTTTTATCCTCGTACATGGAATATTGTCAGCTGTGCTGTATCCACTGTTGATTATGATGTACCTCAGGAGACCCCACAAAGAATAGCACAAGCATGAATTTGTAAGACAGATGTAGTCTCCTGAAATTTTCAAATGTTTGTGTTATGTGGTTTGCCTTTCATAAAGAATAAGTATGATAGCCAGTATTATTGTCATTCTTAAGCATAAGTACACCTATGAAACTGAGAATGCTTTTCAACTAGGGTAGATCCAGTCTGGTTCCTCCATTTCAACATGCATACATAGTAAGATAATTTACATATGACAAGTATTTCAATGCTATGATTAACATTAAGAAAAAGACCCACTGGACTATAATGACATTTGACAGTAGGTAGCTGCAATTTATCCTAGCCTGCAATATGCTTTCAGGTTGACTATTCCCATTAGCAAAAGTAGACCAAGTATGCAGCAGTAGTCCTATGTTTAAAAATGCTAACACACACAGCAAAGTAGTGTAAGATTACAAAGAGCCAAAAATATATAATTTAAACAAAATCCCAGGATTATTTGCACTGTCTGTACATCTTGAAGGACTTCATGGAGAAGATGGAACAGAGCACATGCCTCTGAATCACTTGTGATGCATCATGTAAAAAAAAAACCCTACATTTGTAGTAGAAAAAATCAAAAGGAAGGTGTATGACAATATGGAATGGCATTTTTGAAAGCACAAAAAATGAATTGCTGACTCCACCTCCGAGCCACCAGCCAATATATGGAAAAGTCAAACAATAGTAAGCACTTTTGGGACAGAATAGAGATTGAGAAGTCTAGGCGTATCTAGTCAGGAGATATAGGACCATATGTAGACATCTGTGGTGTCATGCAGTCCGACAGAATGTCTGGTTTGGGTCTGATGCTTTGAGTAGTAGGTAGAAACCAGGATGGAGATTAAGTCTTGGTCTAACAGGTCAGTACAAGGTAGTAGGAAAGAATGTACAACTGTGTGGTGCAGTATCTGAGCCTGACTGAATGTCTGGTTTAGGTGTGATAGTCTGAGGAGTAGGTAGGAATGAGGATGGAGATTGTGTGGTGGAGTGCCTGAGGCTAACTGAATGTTTGGTTTGGGTCTGATGGTCTGAATAGTTGGTAGAAATAGGCGCCTTCCTACCTGATGTGGTAAGTTTAGATCTTACAAGTTAAAGTTTGTTTATACTTTCTGTGTGAACATAGACTGTGTTGCATATTCTTAACAACAGTGCCAAGTTGGGAAAGTGCTGCATGTAACAGTAGTAATATCATGATTTGTTTTTTTCTAGGCTGTTCATTTAGACATGAGAAGGCCTGAAAGTACTGAATGGCACTGGTTAATGGAGCACTGACTCCACCTGCTGGCCAATTTATTGAAACATTGAAATTGTTCTAGTCTACACAAGCTGAAGTATCATTGAAGTCTGATAAATTTCTGAGTGAAATGGCAGGAAAATGAGAGTCAATTAAAAACCTGGAGGCAGATGAAGGAAAATGTAATTCTTTGAAGGTTTTATGAGAAATAAGGACACTTCAGCTGAATTAGCCTAGGTGGGTCTTAGAAATATATGGACAGTGGCCATAGCGCCCCCATTTGAACGATCGACAGGAAATTTGGAGGGTCTGTCTGCTGTACAGTGCTGCATTATTGCAAGAAATTTGGTAATGATTGGCCGAAGCATGCCTGAGATATAGCTGTCTGGTAGGGCATGGCAGTCTGTATCAGCAGAAAAAAGCATTTCGATTGTAGGACAAACAGGACAGGAGATAACGACCAAAACCAGTTGGGGGGGGTGCCACCCTCTAGCTGAGTCAGACAGGTCGGACAATATGAGTAGTGGATAATGATAGGCATCTTTGTGCCAAATTTGGTCGGCCTAGGACTTACGGTTTAGGCTGGGCATTAACCCCCTGGGGCCTGAGGCCTTTTTTCCACTTTCAGGGTAGTCTGACATGCCTTGACATTTTTAAATATTTCACCTATCTAAGAAACATTTATCCCAAAGTGTTGCATGTGCTTTTATTCAGCACAAACTCAGCACCAATGATCTGAGACCACTCATAATGTTATTT